TAAAATAATATATTTACAATCACGTTGAGAATCAATATCATAAATAATATATTAAAAAAAATATTTAAATAGACTTTTCTAAGTTTATTTACCTAATTAGACCTATTTACTATTCATACATAAATTTTAATAAGAAAAAATAAATTCTAAAATAATACACATATTTGCCTTTCTTTCCTCTTTTTTTTCTTTTTTTTTCTCTTCATTTACTTCTTGTTTTTTCTCTTTTGTTCTTCTCTCACTCCATCTTAATTCAATTAAAAATAATACATTAAAATTTGATAACATACGTATTTTATTATTATTGAAAAATAAAAATATTTAAATAATCCAGAAATATCATAATTTAATATGTTATATTTGAAAAAATATTATATAATAAAATTGAGATGTTACACATATTACTGTTATGTTATAATTATCAATAAAAAAATTAAATATTTATTTTAAAATATTTTTTTAATAAATATTTTTTTAAATATCTATTCTAATTAATTATCATAACTCAAAATTATTATAACTAGATGTAATTATTAAATAAAAATATATTTAATTTATAAATATTTGATATTTTTTAAATTAGATGAATAATTATTTATTATAATAAAATAATTTTAAATTAATTATTTACGTCATCATAAATAAAATTATTTATTCTCATTATAATTTTAAATAATTAATTAATATTTTTTAGTTTCAATATTAGTTTTCAAAATATTTTTTAACATATTTTTATTAATAATACAGTAGTTTAACTAGAAAATAAGTGGGAAAGGACAGAAAAGATTAAAAAAAGAGAGAAGAAAAATTACTTATAAACAATAAATAGGTCTATTTAAGAAAATAAAATCATATAAAATTTATATGAGTAATTTTTATTTTAAAATATATTATTCTTAGGATTTATTCTCTTATTAAATTTTGGGTAATTTATAATTTAGTATACATTTTATTAAATATATATTTATATTAAAATGACTATTAAATATAAAATATTTATAATTTCTTTAATTTTAAGGTGTTGTATTTTTATTTATTTTATCTTCCTATAATTTCATGAAAAATATTTAATTTATTATATTCTTCTATTTATATTAAACTAATCAATTATTAAAATTAAAAAACAATACAAAGTTTTTAAAATTATATTTAAATAAAATTTATTACATAATAATATAATTTCATATAAATTATTCAAACTCTCAAATCTATATTTTGCTGATTTTAAATATTATATTTTTAATTTTTTTATGCAATTAAATATATATATATATATATATATATATATATTAATTTAAATAAATAAAATAATTTTTTTAATAACAAATTTATACTATGAGATAAAATTAAACTATTTACTTCTATAAAAAAATTTCCAATCATATATTGATAATATTATTTTAGAAACTCATGTAAAAAAAGAACCTTTTTATATAATAAAATATATAATAATTAGATAAAGAAATCGGAGAAAATATTATAATAAAAAGTTTTATTTTTAAAATTCAAATTTTAAATGTACGTATTGCTTTAGGTAAAATTTATCGTATAACAAATATTGAGATTTTAGGAAACTAAAACATGTGATATGTAAATATTTTTCTAAAAAACATGGATCTCTTTATGCGAACAAGGTATTAGTTTTAGAATTCTAAATCAAATGAAACCAAATAAATCGTATTATATTGTGTAAAACTAAACTGCAAAATACTAAATAAAAATACAAAAATATACTGAAAATCTGAGATATTAGAGAAAGCATAAAAACTTCATTTGAGAAACTTGAAATAGTTTTAAGATTTGAATAAAAATACGAAAATAAAATAAGAAAGTATGGTTTGGTATGTGCAACTTATAAACATGCGATATTCAAACATAATTTGAGCAAAAAATGAAGAAAAAAAAGTATTTGATTGTGAGTAATTAATACACGTGAGAGGAGAGAATAAAGTGAGATAAACTGGTTTCAATATGTACAGGTGATGATAAATAGGATGAGAATGCGACACGAAATATGAGAATAAGTCAAATATTGTTTATTTTATATTCTATATAATAATATTTTGATAAATTTCTATTTTAATGTTTTTCTTTTTTATTTTTTTTGAAATGATAATTCCCAACACTTGTCATTTGTACTTTTCAATATTTATATATTTATCAATTTATCAATTTTTTTTAATTATTTAAAAATATATAATTATAAATATTAAAATATAAAAAATTCGTGCAACTCACAAAATTTCAAACTAATGTTATGTTAGATAAAAATTATACAAAGTTTTAGTGAAAAATTATTTTAAAGTAAAAATAATCAAACACAAATTACATTATTTTAAATAAATTAAAATCGATATTTCAAACATTCACTCATTCCATTAGTATATAAATTGAGTTAATGAATTATTATTGGATGGGTGAGTTGATTATTATTAATTCGTAAGTAATTAGTTAAATAAAATAAAATGAGATAATATTATATATATATATATATATATATATATATTTTGTAAAAAAATTATCTAAAAGCTATAATCATATAAAGATATAAAGATTTAAGTTGGATGTTAAGGTTTTAATATAAAAATAATTGGTAATCATATACAAATTTTTAGAGATAATTCTTATATTTGAGATATTATCCGTTTTAAAGTCTTCGTTCGTTACAATTTTTTTCCTAAAAGCTATAATCATATAAAGATTTAAGTTGGATGTTAATTAAGGTTTTAATATAAAAATAATTGGTAATTATATAAAAAATTTTAGGATTAATTCTTATATTTGAGGTATTACCTGTTTTAAAACTCTCCTTCGTTACAATTTTTTTCCTATAAGCTATAATCATATAAAGATTTAAGTTGGATGTTAAGGTTTTAATATAAAAATAATTGGTAATTATATAAAAACTTTTAGGGTTAATTCTTATATTTGAGGTATTATTCGTTTTAAAGTTCTCGTTCATTACAGTTTTGTTCTTAAAAGATCTCTTGGTGGGTTAAGAAAGGAAGATTTATATAAATTATTCTTGATATCAACTCTTAAGCAATGTGAGACTCATAAGCGTACCAGAATATAGTCCCTTAGTTGAGGATTAAGTGGTTTCAGAGTAGAGCAAGACTTGACTTTTGACCCCATAGTGAGTGTCAATATCCTGTCTAAAAATAAGAATGTCATGATCTCATGTCCAATTGTTGCTGCTCAAAAGTTCCCGCTTTGATCTATTTGTTTTTTCTGAGTTCTGTCTTACTTAACTCTAATATTTTCGTATATTCACAATTACAAATTTGGACAAGAGAACCTTTGTTCATGATGTCCCATGTTTAGTTGTTATTCCTCATGCAAATTTCTAGATAAGGAGCGAGATTTTAGGTAAGATGTTCATAGATATAATCGTAACATGGGTTCGATCAATTAGATTAGTCACATGATGGAATAAATTATTTGGACACTATAATTTATTTTGTTGAAAAAATACACAAATCCTATTGGATTAGACTCTAACTATGTGTCTAAAAAGTCCAAATTAATCAATCTAGTTTTATCTCACTTAACCTAAGTGGATAGAGGTCTTCTAGGTCTGAATAGAGGGATAAATTTCGCAAGGAAGAGAGAAAGAAAAGAACACTATTTCGCTTATTTGTCGAACCGCTTTAGTAAAATTACGATTATCACTTTCTTCACCGTTGGATTGGGCTGAAATTTCTTAATTTTGACCATTGAGATCGTCAACTAGAAGTCTATGATTAGAGATATCAGTCTCGCACTGTGGTTGATTTTTAGGTTTCTGTTTCTTTATTTTTCAAGTTTGAGAACACTATTGTTTTGATATGACTGCGTATAAATATTTATTGGTGCATTTTTATTTAACTCTCTTTTACTTATTTTGATTTTAATAGAACTTGATCAAATGATTTATACTCGTAGATTTTTACTCCTCGTCCTGAAAAGTTTTCCAGCTTAAAAATATTGATATTCTTTTATTATTCTTATTATTTTCTATTATTATTACAAATTCTTATTAACATTTCATATTTTTGATAATTTTGATCGTTAGGTTGTTTTTTCCTTATCAAATCCATTAATACAAGGCAAAATCAAGAATACAACCAAAGTTGACGTGTTATTTTTTCATTTTATTTATTTATTTATTAATGTTATCAAGATCCATCGCTCCTTCTTTCATTCATTTGTGCTAAACATGTGTTGAAACTGAGCATGAAAAAACTGGAATGAATATATATATCAGACGTGGAAATTGTTGAACAGTTGACTAGTTCTTTAACAAATCACTTCAGTGCAAGGCTAGGTCCATAAATTTTTTCTCACTAACACTTATCCAATCGTCCAAATAGTACCTTGAATACCCATAAATATGTTCATGTTACTTCTTATAATAATAATGATTTAATTTTAGAAATATCTAACCAATTATTTTCACATGAACACTTGAAGTAACTTTCACCTTTTGCTCAAAACCGAACCTTACACAAGTTGTTTGGTAGCAATACAAAGAATGCAGAGCGAAGCGGGATGAAGCAGTACTTTATTGACCACAAAGTTAGAAACTCATTACAATTATTACGCGTTCCACCACTCTTCCTTTGTCTTCATGTGACCTTAGTTTTCAACTTTTCCTTTTACCCAAACGAAAAATCTCGTTGACCGCATCCAAATATTAAAATAATAAAAAGATAAAAAAAAAAACATTAAATGAAGGTCACGAGGACAACCTAAGTCCTAACCTTATTACATTTTCGACACGCTTCATTCTCGTTCAACTAACAACCAATAGGAACTGTTCTCACGGATCCCTCGTTCTTGGTCTGCCCTGTCTTTCCGCGTTTAATTTAAGGAAGCACCCGCGAAACGTGAATCAATTTTGTTAGTTGGTCACTGCTTCATCAGAGATTTCATCACTTAGGGTTTTATACATCGCGTTCGTTGTTTTTCTCAACTTTTTTGAATTATTATTCGAAACTTGTAGCGAACTAAATTTATTCATGGCGTCGAGTTTTGACCGGTGGGAAAATGATCCTTTCTTTAACGCCGCCGAAGAAGTTCAAGATTCTGCAGACAGGTATATCCATTTGCTTAAGTTTTGTTCCGATTAGTTTTGTGCTTTTATGTAGTTTGCCATTTATTTTCTTCCGAAGAGAAAATTTACTAATGTAGGGATAGAAGCAGTAAAATTTTACTTAATTTGTGGCTTTTTACACTCTATTGAATGCGAAGAGTTGGGAAACTTTATTATTGATTTTTTTTTTTTTTAAGTTTATCTGTGTGCGCAATCTTATAAATTTTTGTTGATTTTGTGTTTTTGAAGGATGGAATCTACGTATAGAATATGGATACACGCAACAAAAGATGCGTCCAGCATGTGGAACTCTGATGAATTGTGTAGAGACTTACGTACTGCACTTGGCACTGCCAAATGGCAGGTAATTTCTACTCATGGTGAATATCTACTAATATGTTAGTTTATTTAAAGTATTTTGTTGTTGAAATGGGGGCATGATTACGTCTTTGTTGGGATGCAGTTAGAGGAATTTGAGCGGGCAGTGAAGTCAAGTTATGGCAAAGTCTCAAGTGATGAAGCGAGAAGTAGGCACCGAGATTTTATCACTGCCATTGAGGATAAGATAATGAAAGTTGAGCATTCGATGAGTGAATCGGTAGGCAAGGCGTCTCTGCCTTGGTTACGTTTAGACGAAGGAGAACAGAATGAGCTTGCTTTGTTTCTTTCGGGAATACCAGTAATTAACAGCAGGGACATTGAAGATCCACGATTAAGTGATAACGTTTCACCGAGTCATTGTTTGGAGGATTTTCATGTTTCATCTGGATGGGGTGAATCAAAGGAGGAGCTACCACATGGGCATCGCAGGGCAGCCAGTGCTAGTGCTGATATTGGATTTTGGAAAATTTCAGTTCATGATGATGCACAGCAGTGGAGTTCCTCTAGTTGTTCTTCTGGTCCAATGCATAAGGCACCTAGTTTATCAGGATTTATTAGTTCCATGGAATCAGTCTCTAAGATGAAGTGGCCTAGGAATGGTTATAGAAAGCTAAAAGGAGTGGATCATCATAGAGAAACTGATAGTACACTACTTCCAACAACTGAATCCAATAGGGTGTGTCTTTTATCTGCACTCGTTGTCTGTTCATAATGGTGACTTGCTCGAGTGATTTTTGATACATTTGTTGAATTACTGATCTGAAATTATCTTTTTTCTTTTATTGAAAACAGGGCAACAATGCACGCTGTGAAAGAAGTAAGAGTGACCTTGATAGTTGTGATGAATGCTATGACAAGCAACTCTATGGATGGTGTGGTGCTATTCGGAGACGGCTTCAAAGATCTCAATACCAAATAAAATACAGTCAGCCTGTTCGAATAGCTGTTTGGATTTCTTTTCTTCTTTGTTTTATTGGTAAGCTGTTGGTATGATTGTATGTTTACTGTATCCTCCTATATACATTATAATTATATGTACCTGCATGCAATGGAATTTCTAATTAACAACTTACTACTTTGGTAATTGAGGAATGTTACCTTATTACACTTTTCATTATTACTATTATTCTTTTAATCATTTGGATGGCCTTCTGTCTAACGATTTGCTTATCCTTTTCCTCATTCCAAATCTGTTTTTTATTCTTTTCTCCGATATTGTTTCCTTTTCTTCGAAAACAACTCTGTTGCTATCTCTTCATGCTTTGCACTTTTTTTGTTTTACCCATTAGTTTGTTGCTTAGCTTGGGTAACGGATCTTGATCATTGATATTGGGGAGTCAAATAATATATTATTAATAAATAATAAATAAATATAAAAGAAAAAAAAAAGATAAAAAGGTGAAAGGATAAAATTGTAGATATATACTTAAATATATTAAATGATCATTAAGTCTGAGGGAGATAAAATCATAAATTATATGAGAGTTACAAAATTAATGAGAGGATGAGAGGATAAAATTGTAAATATATAAGTAAATATATTAAATGATTAGTTTAAGAGACCAAAATCATAAATTATGATAGTTACAAAACCTCCCTCAGTTCTTGAGAAGATCATTAGTGCTAGCCAGTTTCCTTTTCTCTTGTTGTAGTTGGTTGTATTTACCAACTGCATGTCCTTTTCCACTGTACACCGTTAAGCTCATCTTGGTCCATTCTTGGTAACTGTTTGAATTTTGTCTGCCCGCACTATACATTGCCTCACATGCTGCATTATTTTGGCCGTGTTTACCAACTGAGTTTCTTTTTTCCCTGAACAACCTTAAGCTGACATCTTTATTTTTGGGTAACTGTTTGAATTTTTGTCTGTCCACACTATGCATTTCCTTACATGCTTGCATTATGTGGTTGTGTATACCATCTGATTTTCATTCTTTCCTTAAACACTCTTATTGCTTACGTCTTAGTCCATTCTCAACTGTTTGAAATTTTGTCCACTGTGAATTATCTTATCGTGGCTTACACATATTATTGGTGTCCTGCAGCTTTAATTGCATTCCACGCAATGTAGAAGGAAGATTTTTAGCTGGAAGCTTTTGATTGAACAGTTCATTTAGTCCCACTTTGTTACTTGAGCAGGAGATATAGATTAGATTTTCTGGTTCTGATTTAAGCTTTGGGACTAGAATTAGAGTCTAGCATAGGCCTTAAGGACTTCCTTAACTTTTTGTTATTCTGCTATTCAATCTGTTTCTCCCCTCCCATGGCATAATAGTCAATGAAGAGGTCTCTGTTGTACTATATAATATAGTGAGAGGGAAATGATAAAAGGAATTAACCTATTTAATATCGTAATGTGTTCATACATGTCTTATGCTAGAGCTGTGTTTTTTTTGTTCCAATGCTGATAGCATGAGCAGATTCAATATGATGCATTCATTATTCTTTTCCATTTGTTATCCAAAGAATATTTTATATGCAACACAAGCACATATGGTAGCAAGATAGGGCTCTACACCAGATCAATGAATATCACTCATAAGCTCATCACACAACTCAAGTCGACAGAAATGGGAGCAGTTTTACAACAAACGTAACACGATAAACATACCAAGACCACCATTCCCAACCTCTTCCAAACATTATTTTCTAAAATATATTTTAAATAATTTTTTAATTCGTAATATATATAGAAAGAAGTTTCCTTAGTATACTAATAAGAAGTAGAAACTTATTTTTTATTTTTACAATTCATTTTCTTAAGAGGGAGAAACTTATCATCATTCTTGCATAATTAGACAGTTGTTTCATTTTATTCGGAAATTCGTAAAAAGCAATGTTTATAATTATATTGCTAATGAGATATATGTTAGAATTTTGTAGGAGAATATTGAATTTTTGTATGCTTCTAAGTTAGATAATAATAAATTATATTTGTTGAATTGTTTGATAAATTTAAGGTACAAGAGATTTCTTTTATTTTATATCACTTAAATGAATTTTAAGAACTTTTATATCGAATGTATCACTGATGATAGTGAAATAGGTATCAACTTTGATGATGAAGTTGAGACTATAGTTATTAAATACTTTATCAAAGTATCATAAGATATTTCGAGTTTTAATTACAAACTCAACAAATAGTGGTGTTCTTAATGAAGAGATAAGAAGGAAGACACATGATTCTTTATTTTAGTCTGAGGTGTTTGTCACTAAAAATAGGGATAGAAGTAAAAAAAAAATGAATTGAAAGTTGATAGAGAGAAGAATAAGAACAAGTCTAAAATAAGATACAAGAATATGGAGTATTATCATTGTAATAAACTTAGACACATCCAAAGATATTGTTTTAAGTGGAAAAAGAAGAAAAAAAGTTAAGAAGGGTAAGTAAAAAGAGAATGATCATGATGATGACTGTACTACTACTGCTACATGTAATGATCTTCTTCTTCTTCTTCTTCATGACCATGAGTCAGTCAATCTTGTATCTGATAAGAGAATGTGAATAATTGATAGTGGTGTTATAATGTAAGTAACACCGAAGGAGTTTTTCATATCTTACACTTTTGGTGATTTTAGAGTGTTGAAAATAGGTAATGATGTATTAAAGGTTGTTATTGTTGGTGATGTTTGCTTACAAACCAACATGGGAGTGTAATTATTACTTAGAGGAGTCAAACATTATCTAAATATACATTTTAATATGATCTTTGTGCATTTGTTTGATGACTGTGATTATGACAAATCACTTTGGTTATGATAAATTGAAGCTTACTAAAGGTAACTTTATCATAACTTGAGGGGAGAAAAACTTTAAATTGTATTAGACTAAAGCTTTGGTTGCTAAGGACAATGTGAATTTTGTATATATGGAGGCATCTTTGTGGCACATAAGGCTTGGTCATATAAGTGAAAAAAAGACTTAATTATTTAACTAAAAAGGATATGCTTTTGGGATTGAAGAGTGCAGAGTTGGAGAAATGTTCTCATTGAATGGATAGTAAATAAATTAGAGTATCCTTTAAGAAATATCCTCCCTCAAGAAAGTCAAAGTTGCTTAAATTGATGCATTATGATGTTTGTGACCCATTAAAGGTAAAGTTGTTATTATTGATAAATGTTTTAGGAAACTATGAGTCTATGCGCTACAGAGAAAGGATCAAGTAATTGAAAAGTTTAAAAAATTTCATGCTTTGGTAATCAGGCAAGAAGCTGAAATGCATTCATATGGATAATGGTGGTGAGCATTATGAACCATTTGATGTTTATATCAAGCAATAAGGTATTAAACATGAAAATACTCCTCTTAAAACTCCTCAGTTGAATGGTCTAGCAGAGAAGATGAACAAGACTTTGGTTGAAAGAGTTAGATATATGCTTTCTGAAGCAAAGTTGCCTAAGCATTTTTAGGGAGAGACATTGCTTATAACTGTGCATGTTATTAATCTTAGTCCTGTAGTTGTCTTAACATTGAGGTACTAGACAAGATCTGGGTTGGCAAGAATGTTAACTATGATAATTTGCGTGACTTTGATTGCAAGACATTTATTTATGTTCCAAAGGATGAAAGATCAAAGTTAGATGCAAAGAAAAGACCATGTATCTTTATTGGTTATGGTCCAAGATGAATTTGGCTATAGATTACATGATACTGTTGAGAAGAAGCTGGCAGTAGGTTGTGTATGCAGTTCATGGAAGACCAAACCATTGAAGATATTAACAAGGTGAAGAAAACTACACTAAAAAAAGATAGTAATTTAATTGATGGTAATCTAATGTGGATGCATATTCACAATTCGAATACTATTGAGATTGATGCTCAAAATGACGAGGAACGTGGTGATGGTGATAATCAACAAGTTGAAGATGGAATGAAGGTTTCGATTAATGATGTTCAAGAGGAACATGATATAATAAATGATGTTGATCATGATGACACACTTGAATTATCACAAGTCCCTGTTAGGAGGTCTAACATATTAAGAAAATCGACTTCCATGTATTCTTCTGATAAGTATGTAACCTTGACAGTTGGTGGAAAACCTTAGTGTTTTAAAGAAGCTTTAGAAAGTGAAGAAAAACAGAAGTGGTTAGATGCAATGCAAGATGAGATGAAATATTTGCATGACTTGGTAAAATTGCCTAAGGAAAAAAGGGCTTTAGAGAACAAGTGGATTTTCAAGGTGAAATAGGAAGCTAATTTTGTATCTCCAAGGTATAAAGTTAGATTAGTGGTGAAAGATGTTAGACAGAGAAAAAAATGTTGATTTCAATGAGACTTTCTCACTTGTGGTGAAAATGTCATCCATTAAAACTATGCTAAGTTTAGTTGCTACCCTTGATTTGGAAGTTAAGTAGATGTATGTGAAGACAATATTTCTTCATGGTAATTTGGAAGAAGAGATTTATATGAAAAAACCTGATATTTGTTGTTGAAGATAAGGAATATTATGTGTGTAGAATAAGAAAGAGTTTATATGGTTTGAAGTAGGCTTCAAAATAGTGGTACAATAAGTTTGAGTATTTTATGTGTGATAAATGTTACAAAATGACTACTTTTGATCATTGTGTCTTTGTTGGAAAGTTTTCTGATAGTGACTTTATTATCATGTTATTATATGTTGATGACATACTTATTAAGAAAAATATTTTCCGATTTGACATGTTAAAGAAACAATTGGGTGAGTCATTTATCATGAAAGACAAGAGAGTTGCTAAAAGGACTCTTAATATAAGTATCTCGCGTGATAGAAGAGAAAAGAAAATTTGGCTATCATAAGAACATTATATTAAGAAGGTATTGTAAAGATTTTATATGAAAAATACTAAAGTAGTAAGCACTCCTCTTACAAATCATTTTAAATTGAGTGTTAAACAAAATCTTTTAAATAAAGTTGAAAAGTTAGATATAACTAGAGTTCCTTATGCATTTTGCAGTGGGCAATTTGATGTATCTAATGGTCAGTACAAGACTAGATATTACACATGTTATTAGTATAGTTAGTCGATTTTTATCTAATCCAAGTATAGAGCATTGGAATGCTATGAAATAGATTTTGAGGTATTTTTATGGTACTAGTGATTTGAAACTTTGTTTTAGCATTAGTGCAGAAAGACCCTTTTACATCACCTAATTCTCATCGGATCCAAAAATAACTGACTTAAAAAAAATACGGTGGTAATTTTGTAAATATTGGACGAGACTTTTACGTCGGATCCATAAAATGTGTGACGTAAAAGACCTCTTTTACGTCACCCATTTATGAGTCTGACGTTAAAAGTTGGATCAGTTTTTACGTCGGACCTTTTGGTCCGACATAAAAGACCTCTTTTACGTTGATCCCTTGTGGATTCAACGTAAAAATCGCATTTTATTTTATTCCTGCACCACTCCCTCGTCTCGCACAACAAAGGTTTTTTAGAATAATAACGAGAACGATGACGACAACGACGATAACCAGCTCCTCTCAAGGTATATTTCGACCATAGTGAGTGACGAAAATACTTTCATTGTATCCCATTTGTGGTGATTGACATTTCTCTCCGATTGAATTCACGTTTTACAACATTTTTTATATATTTGAGGTTAGTGTTCTATGTGTTTCGTCTCCTCTTTTATGTTGAAATTGAATGTTTCCACTGTTGTAGTTAGTGTTCTATGTGTTTGAATCCTACTTTTTTGTTATTGTTGTTGTAATTTGTATATTGGGGGTTTAGGTTGTTGTTGTTATTTTGTGTATTAGGGTTTTATGATGAAAAGAAAATGGAAAATGTTTGAAGCAATATAACTTTTGACTCGGATGTCGGATTCAAACGCACAACATATGAAAACAAAGAGAAAAATGCGAAAAAGATGGTGCAAATCCCAAAGGGCTTTTTCCTAACAGTTTTTCCAAAATATGCTCCTAAGCACATGTAATACACAAAAGTTTATGCGGATATAACCAGAGGTAATTGCTTTCAACATTTGTTAAGTTTATTTATCTTTGTGTCTATTGCTTGTTAACTGAAGTCAAATTAATGTTTCAGGTATTTTAAGATTCATCCATCTCCACTATCAGGACATGATAT